CTTAAAATTGAGAGATATTTGAAATAGCCAAGTTTGATATGGGTCCAGAAGCCATAACTCAGTATAAAACGAAAGGAAAGTATGTAGTCAATATGCAATTTATGTAAGTCTACTTAAATGAGTGAAGTTGTAATTTTCAGGTCAAAATATTAATTAGAAAGGAAATTATTGAGAAAACAAACTACTTTCCAATTGAAAATGACCGCAAAGACCCCTTGACGTAATCCTTCGTTTTATATAAACAATCTTTAAGGGACGATTGGATTTCTGTCATTTTTCATTCCGTTACATATGCTTGTCTAATTTATACATGTTTTCAAAAGCAGAAATGGTATTATTTTGGTTTTTAAGCTCATTTTAAAAACAGCAAACTATATTTGTGATTTACCATACCCCTTTTGGTACCCCCAGAAACCCACTTTCGGTCAAAGTTTTACCTTAGTTTTTCCGCATGTCATACAATAGGACATCTTTGAACAAAATAAGGAGGTGAAAATCCGAATATACCGGGGCCCAAAAAAGGGTCTTTTAGACACCCTTCCTTTACAATAACCATGTCTTCTAACTTGACAGAGAATTCAATCCCAAGTAAGGTAACTTTGGCTGTTCCCCATTTTAGTTTCCACCTTCGATGGTATACATCAGCACTACATTTTTTGCTACCTATCCAAATAACATTTTTTTTCAGTATTTACTTTTAATCCTGATATTTTAGCATATTTATCTAACATGTGTATAGCCTCTATGAATGAAGATTTTGTGTCATTTAAAATAAAGGATGTGTCATCGGCGAACTGTGAGAGCCTGTGTTCTTTGTTTATGCCCTTAATGTTTTTTATAACTTTTTACCATGATAGCTAATATTTCAGCTACCAAAAGAAATAAGTAAGATGATACTGGATCCCCTTGTCTGCAGCCCCTTGTCTGCAGCCCCTTTTTATGTCTACAAAGTTGGATAAAAAACACATTCTGTATGATAGCCGAAGAAGTATTTGTATTAAAAACCTGTATCCATTTCTTTATACTATTTAAAAAAAAAATTAAATAAATATAACTTTTGTAAGAAAGTCCCATGACACAAAGTTGAAAGCCTTTTTAAAAAACAATACAAATAAGTTGTCCCGGAATATCATGTTGCTCTGTATAGTTCATTATGTCATATATCAACCTTGTATTTTCCCCAATGTATCACCCACTAAAAAAACTGTTTGTGTTTTAGAAATCACAGTCTAAAACTGATTTCAATCTATTTGCAATACATGCAGATGCTAATTTGTAAGTTATGCACAGAAGAGTAATAGGTCTCCAAATTTTTAAATATTGTCTGGGTTTATTACCTTTTGGAAGACATATTATGACACCTTGTTTTTGTGTAATAGATAATTGCCCATTTTGTACCCTACTTTTAAAGATCTAATAATAAAATGTTTTAGATCTTACAAAAAATAAAAATAAAAAATTCTGCAGTATAGCCGTCCGATCCTGATCTTACAAATCACCTTCAATATTTACCTTTTGACTATCACTCAGTATATTGAAATCACGATTCTTTAAAAATTCGTTTAGGTCAATATCTTCAATGTTTTCAGAGTGCTTTGAATTTAGATCTTTGTAAAACAATTCTATCTCTTTCAATATTTCATTCTGTTTTGTGATAAGTTTACCATTATTTTTGCTCAATTCTGTAAATAGTTTTATTTATATAGTTTTTTTTATTCTGACTGCAGAAAACTTTACTTATCTTTTCTTCCTCCTCTATCCATTTTGCTCTTGATCTGATCATGTGTCCTTTTAATTTTTCTTTTCTAATATTTTCTAGTTATTTCTTTTTATTTTCAAGTTCTAAAACAAGTGTGTCTATTAGTAAATATAATGTATTGCTGTTTTCAATTTGATCAATTTCCTCTTTTAGTGTACTTTCTAATCTATCTATATTTGTCTTTTTATGTGATACAAATGATGTAGGTAGTCCCCTAATCTCTATAAGCATGGCTTCTAAAAAGAGTTGATCTCTTATTTTCAAATCTAGATTTATATCAAAAATACTATTCAGGTTTTTATTGTGTCTGGGTGATGCATATTGCGTTTAATATCATTACTTGTTTGTTTTACCTTTGCCGCATATTGAGTATCATATAATAAACTATTGTTAAATTTCCATAATCCACGGCCTTTTTCCAAATCATTTATTTTTAATTCTAATGTTATCAATGAGTGGTCTGTTCTGTATCCTGCCTGTATGCGTGTTTGTTCTTAAGGAAAAATTCAAGTCTAGCTTGTTTAAAAGGGTTTCGTTTTCTCCATGTATATCGTATATAATCTGCGTGGTTATTGTTTCCATAAGATCTGCAACTGTATCTCTAGCTCTTGGATTATTAATGTTTCTGTAGTTATGTGCGTGTCTATCGTATGATTAAGAACAAGATTAAAGTCACCACATAGGATACATTATTCATTGTTAAAATCTTTGACTGTGTTCCTTATAGTTTTATAGAAAACTGATTTATCATTATTTGGACCATAGATATTTACAAGTGTAATTCTATTTTTTTCAATGATTATATCGACAGCTAACATATTTCCTACACCGTCATCTTTATTATTATGCAGTTCAAACTCAAAGCTATTGTTTATCATCATACAAACTCCACGGGCATTCGATTGAAAGAATTAAACAAACATTTAGACCCCGACTGTGTTTCTATTACTTTTTTTTCTTGACTTGTAAAGTGTGTATCTTTTCAATTTCAAGGGGGTCATGAATCTCAAATGTATCGTCTGTTTCGATGTCCCGGAAGCGAACGTTTGGTGTGCAAGTAACAAAACGGAATAACGCAACAGTATCAAACAGCTGATTACCGGGTGCTGACGGGGACCGTCGCTGACCAGGACCGTTGCATATTATAGCGTTTTCCTACTCTTGTTTTAGAAAAAATCTGCAATTAATTGCATCAATATACGACTAATGTTTAGCATGGGAAAGTATAAGCACCAAATTATCAAGACAAAAGGATTATGATAATTGTTTTTAATACAAAAAGTGTAGCAGAACTTATAATGTAGAGTTGGAATGTAACAGTTACCTCCCTTTGATCAAGTAGATCTGACTAAATAGTTATAGTTACGCGTATAATGTATAATACCGAGTTTCTTTTCCTTCTCACTAACGGCTTACTTTTCCGGATTACAAAGACAATGGAAATATCAAAGCGGAATGACGGTTAGAGTTCGGTGGCTGGCGAGAGTTAACACGTCAAACAGTGGCTATACTTCGATGGCTGACAAGAGTAAACAGGTCGAACATTGGCTTCTTCGGTGGCTGACGAGAGTAAACTAGTAGAACATTTGATACTTCGGTGGCAGACGAGAGTAAACTCGCCGAGCATTTGGTACCTCGGTGGCTGACGAGTACACGTGTCGACACCATTATCTCATTGGGGCAATATATTTCTTTGAACGCTATATAGGTCCGTTTTTAATATGTGATCTACATGGTGGATATCTCCGATGAAGCAAAATACGCTTACCCTTCTGAAACACATGGTCTTATTTTCCTTGAATTTCATTAGCGATTTCCATGTAAATATTGCCATAGATTTTAGCTAGATCTACCGTTTTGTTGACTCTTCGGTACTCTTTTGTTTTTAGACGAATGATTTATTTTAACTATAAAATGAATAATGGTCAAATATTAAAACCCGAGTGTCTACCAATATAAATAAAATTTAAATGCTAATCTACTGATAATATCTCATTAGATCACTCGACACAAGTTGTTTAACAGCTTGTTACAGATTTTTTTTTTAATAAATGACTGTCTGTACATATATGTTTATGTGTCAATAATTACAAGTTTTATTCTCATGTTAGTTTTGTGATGCGCTTGTCTTCCTGATTACATATATATGACCCTGCAGTTAGATTATCAGTCCATTTTCTCTGATTCTACATATGCTTTGGTACACCTAAGCATCACTGATGATTCCTTTAAGGATGATATGGTCATATGATGCAGTAAAATTATCACGTTTTGGATTTCTGCATCTACGAACAAAATAGGCGCTTCCTTTCCAATCTGTAATTGGAATCTGTGTATCTGTTTGTAATCTCAAAAGCGAGTTCTTCCCCGCAAGTTGGCATTTCACAATTTTGCATTCTGCCTAACGTTTACAATCTGTGCAGGCTTTTTTATGGAATGATCGGCATATCTTCATCAATCTTTACAGTAGAGCATAAAAACACACTAAATGGACAGTCTGAATATTGTTATCATGACTTAAATTTCCGATTTGGGTATCATGGATAGATAATGGGGATTGCCATGGGCTGATTAAATGTCCGATTAATCGGTTGATGATTTCGGTAACCGGTTCGCGGTCTTCCAACCGAGTAACCGGTAAACCGCCTTACATTGTACCGTTGAGTCGTTGATCCCTAATGTTTTGTATTATAAAAATATCAATATCATTTAAAACAAAAAAAGTAATGTTATTGCTGAATTGTTGTTCTGCATGTCATATATATCCGTATCTGTTTTCTCTGGGGTTTCGTTTTTTTCTGTTTCTAATTTTGTAGTTTTGCACATACTTTATTCGTTTTTCGTCTTTCTGTGTTTCTCGTGTGGTAAAGTATATTTCTTTTCTGTTTTACTTTCTGCGAATGCCTACCTATAGGAGTATCACGTCAATGGTAAACTTAATAGATATGTTGGGATGGTTTTTTTGTGTCTTTTGAACTGGAGCTATTACAGCTGCTGAGCTTGCTTCCATAAACAATATACAGTGTATTACAGTTTACAATATACATCAAACCAAGATTTGCCAAAGAGTTAAAGAAACTAGGACGATAAAGCAACACAAGAAGGATTTAAATAAGGATTCATAAAACGTAGCAGGAAAGGTTAAGGCGAAACGTAAATCTAGGTCATGTTACGTCATGCAAGTGCATGATACTGCTAATGTCACGGTTTAGTCCAAATAGAAACATGACGTTTTATAAGTAGTTAGTTTATCCTTTGATATCTTTATGTGGCACGCGTCACACTAGAATATGCAATGTCATACCTGCATTATAACATTATGCCTTACAAAATATTTTTCCCGATTATAGATGTAAAATAATGCGTAATATACAAAGAAAAAACTATCTATTCCAACATAAGGGTAACACAAATCAAACGATAACATTTTAGTATTTATTTCTGACAACTGATTGATATCATATATACTCACTAAGTTATTCTCAAATATAATCTTCATCGTGAATATTGCATTTCACATACATCATCATAAACATTCTCTTTTTAATATAAATATAATAGTATATACATTTTCACTCATTAGATGCCATTTATATATGTAATATGGTTACCTGGGTGATAGAGTCTTATGAAATTTAAACAGATATCACACGCATAATGCTCTTTTTATTATATTTACATCGTCAATCGTGTTCATAAATCACATATTTTCCTTGGCCATCTCGAATCAATGAGAAAAACCGCGTGATTCAGGACTGGCTTTATTCGAGGTGTCGCCAAATTATGTCCATTCCTCAAGTTCATGCGAAGGGGAGGTGTTGGGTTTTTGATGCCTGGTTAGAACAAAAATAGAAAAAGAAAATGTGTGCAAAACATTCAAATATAGCAATGATTAGTTACCAAAAAATATATGAAAAGAATATCAGGGTATAAGTTGTTAGTAGAATGTTATGAAATTATGGTGTTTAAATGATATTAGTATGTAATACTTGTAATCATGTGCTTTGATATAAAGGTGTAGCGGGGTAGTTTTATCGGATTGTTAAGATAGAGTTATGATATATGGTTGTCAAAAAGATGAAAAGGTGTGATGGGGTAGTTGTAGAGGGTTGTTTTCAACAGGTATGCTATATTATTGTAAAATATATAAAAAGGTGTAATATGATAGTTTTATAAGAATGCTCCGATATAAGGTTGCTAAGAGGGTGGAAAGATGTCAGAATGTTTTAATGGTGTATTGATGTCAATTTTAAGAAGTAATTTTTTTTTTTTTTTTTTTTTTTTTTTTTTTATATCGGAGCCGATAGTGAGCTTTGCAACAAAATTGTTAAGATAATGATATTATATAGGATTTTGTAAAGAACGTGAGAGGACGATAATAAGAGTCAGAAGCTTACTGATACCACTTCGTAATTAACACATCGTGACTTTATATATGTACATTATGTGCTTACGAATTGGATCCACACTGCCCTGTATTTGATCATTGATAGTATATTCATTATAGTATGTATGTAAGTATGTATATAAACTATTTTCTTTATCCATACACCCTACTATGCAGAACAGCAATATTAATGTTAATGGGCTTAGAGACTATAGGAAAAGATACAAAATGTTCCAATGGATCAATACACATAAGTATCAAATTATTTGTTTACAAAAACACACATTGCACAAACCAAGACACGGTGAAATGGAACTTAGAATGGATAGGTATTGGNGGGGGGGTCGAACAATAATAGTGTATGGAATAATTGTACGTCAGAATCAAGAGGATTGGCAATATTATGGAAAAACAACCAAAATTTAACAATAACGGAAGGTAAAAGGGACAATGAAGGCAGAGTCATATCCTATATATTAGGATCCGATACAAAGAAAAAAACATAACCAATGTATACTCACCCAATAAAGGACATGAGAGAAAACATGTGTTCAAACCAACGGGTTTACCTCATCATATTTCAGAATAACACGTTCAGCTCGACAACGTTGCCCGATTGCCCCGCTTTTATACATATTACAAGCAGAGCCTTTGGCCTGTACTATCAGAGCCTGTCAAGAAATTTAAGGATTACAACTTCCAGGGCCAGAACAAATAGAAACAAAGCTAAGCATGTTCGCAGATGACACACAGTTATTTAACAGAACCGAGGAGTCTATAAAACAAACATTTATAATCTTAGATATATCTATGAAAAGGCATCAGGCTCCAAAGTGAACTATGAAAAAACAGAAGGCATATACTTAGGGGAATGGAAAGGGAAAATACCTGAATATGAAAAAATTAAATGGTCGACTTCTGCTGTCAAAACCCTCGGGATATACCATGGACATATAAATGATGATGATCGCATATGGAGAGATAAAATTACACACATTAGCAATAACCTGCAAATCTGGAAAACAAGAAACCTCACATTCAAAGGAAAAGCAATAATTGTAAAAACAATCATACTATCTGTAATAGGATATGAAATTGAAGCGAGATGAATTCCAAATACTAAATATATGAGAGAGAATAATACTCTTATATGGAACTTTATCTGGGACAATAAAATCAACCAAGTAGAGAAAAAACTATGCTGCACTGAACTGCAAAAGGGAGGGATGAGAATGATTGACCTGGAGCATTTTATTTAAAATAGATATCAAAACCATATACATAATACTTAACTCTGAATCAGAAAGCTGGAGCTGTACAGGAAAATATTTTATCCAACAATATGATGAAAAATATCACTTAGAAAATTTCCAGATATATATGGATTAAACTTAAATAGACTATCAAAATTTATGTGAATGACATTAAAGCCTTGACTAAGCTACAGACAAGAATACACAATCAGCCCACAGAGATAGAACAAATACTTCAAGAACCCCTATTTGGCAATGCATCGATTCATCCAATCTTTCATGAAAAGTGGAATATTGTCTATAGCTGACATATGGGACACGCACAGAAATACCTTTTTAGACAATAAAACTATTTTAGAAAAACTCTTAAATAAGCGGAATTGGATAGCAGACATTTTTAAAATTAGAAAGGCCATCCCATCCAATTATACACAAGGAAGGGAAACCAACATCCCACCATCAGAGAAAAAACACAACTTAAAAATCATCAAAAAAATTAAAAATGTACTCCCAATCGAATAAACTCATTGAACCGAGAAAATTAAAATTATCAAAAATACAGAAAATATTTAATAATAATACAACTGTAAGGCCAAAATGTGAAACTAAATGGGAAGAACATTTTGTAAAAGAAATAGAATGGAATGAAATATGGAACAATGCGAATGATAGCGCAATAACTAATACAATTAAACAATTTCAGTGGAAATTTGTACATAGAATCATATGAACAGTTCCGACGGACAGTGTCATTTTTGTCAAATCCCTCCAGAAACCCTCAAACACCTATTTTACCAATGTCCCTGCTACAACATGATATGTGAAAAGAGTATGATGCTAGGAGTATGCAAAACAAGTACAAGCTATTGTGTGATGAACTCTGTTATATTCACACTAAAAAACTGCATATGGAAAATAAGGAATATTAAAATTATCAAGATAAGACAACTAGTGTAGAACCAACTATTATCATATCTGAAAATATGTTAAAAAGCAGTATAATACTTCACATTTAATCTAACAACAACACTCAACTTCAAGAATTAAGAAATGCATCAGAGCGTTAAATGATACTCTAATATCATGTATACCACCCCGATATGCACATGTACGTATTACTAATCCCAGGAACAAGTAATTTCTTGGACTATTATAATAGATTCGGCAAAACATAACAGGGCGCGATTAGCAAGAATATACAGAATCTGGAGTCGTACAGGAAGTTAATTTTTTCTACCATTACATTGAGGTTGTAAACATGTGAACGGGATCAAAGTAAAACAAAACCGATTGGTCATGGGTATAGTCGAGTAAAGCAAATACTGAACATGGCAGTGTCACACAACATGAACAACAATATAACTGAGGCATTCATAATATATAATTAGCTTTCACAGTCTTTTTAATATAATAATTACCACTTTTATTCATTCTGTAAACCTTTGCACTCCCTGTGCACAACAATCAGCGGAAATACATGAAAACACATGACTACGAAACCCGGTAATCGGACAAAATTTCCGTGTTATTTGTTTTGTTACCTCCGTGTGAACGCGGTTTGAACGAGAGTGTACAAAAGTAAGGTAAAACATAAATTACAGTATGAGAGTGTGAAAAAGTGGGAGAGAAAAATAATGAACAAGTGTTGATTTGTGAAGAAAGAAAATAGAGAGTGTTTCATGAATTGTGGGGTTGTAGCTGGGGCAGCCCATCCAAAGACAACCCACGAATGGTGTATGCGTGCCTTGGTTATTTAATGTATTTTTTGTTTTGTTTTTTTGTTATGATGTTAATACGATGTTTTGATAATAAAGATATTAATACGATAAATTATTTTGATAAAATGGTATTAAAAGGTATAATTAACTGGTACTCTACCTTAGAGCGGAATATTCTCCCTTATATATAGAGGGAAATGGCTTACAGCTGCCTCTTTGACTAGGTTATTCACAATTCTTGGAAATCATCTTTGTAGAACGCATGATTGAACGTGGATAGGGTCCGAGCTCAACTGTCAGAACTTCTGGTTTTCGTACATTCTTATTTTACTTTTTGTTTCCAAAATAATTCCATTTTAAGCTTTTGTTACTCTCTGAAATAGCCCAATCACTACGTAATAAGTATGAGGAGATATTTACGGGATAGCTTAATTGCATCTTTCTTAATTACGTGAAAAAGACAGTGGTTTAGGTAATACAAGTCGGCGTTCGAACAGGAGTAGATTGAGTGAAAATGTATCTTGTTGGTGGTTCATTTAAGGGTCATTTATAAATATAAATTACGAAAGTAATACATGTTTCCTATAGTGGGATTAAATACGCATGTGTGTACAACAAGATGATATCCCGTGCATATGTTAGAATAAAGTTGTGCACTGACAAAGTATCATAAAAATGAGCTATATAAACATACGTACTTCCCGAACTGTTTTCCGTCCTCAATAGTTTCCGGTAGTTCTCTATTCAGAGTTTCTGGTAAAAACAGTGATGTCAATCCTGCAATGATGGCCAGCGCTCCAAAAATTCCTGATGGAAACACTTTCCCGACCGTTCCACCTATCAACGCTGCCTAAAAAAGGCAATAAAACATTACAACAGAACACACGTTGTAAGACGGCCTAACAGGAACCATGTTATTATCAAAATTACTAAAGATTGGAAAAAATTCTATTCTTCGTACCAACAAAAAGGAACCTATTCTTCGTTCCACAAATCTGTTTTGCGGTGTGTAGAGGATATCGTTTACTATTTAGCATTTTGTGGCATGCGCTATCAACCTTTCTCAGCTTATAAAAGCGTCCAGCATGATTGCATGCTCTTTTGTCATAGTGTTGTATGATTATATGTATAATGAGAAACATGATAACTTATTTTGTCATTTCGCATAGCAAATTTTTAAATATATCCAGTAACTCTACTAAACCTATATCATAATATTTCAGATGACTTCTTCTCTACAGTACACATGAAGACTAATTCATCGACACAATATCCTGTATCACTCACCGAATCTGCTATATACGGGGCTGCGATCCCCCCGGCCCTTGAGGCACAAGAGCTTGCTCCCAGCCCTGCATTCCTTACAACAGTAGGAAACAACTCCGAAGAAAAGAAGTAGATAGTATTGAATGCGGCAGTAGCACCAAACTTACCAAACATGGCAAGTATAGTGATAATTGTTTGATTTTCTGAAAGAAACCACAACCTGTATTTGTAAATGTATCAACAGTCGTGATGAAACATATCATGTAATTCTCTGTAGAGTAAATTATCTTAAGGATCCCTGATCAAGTGAAGGCAACGCATTAGAGTCTTCCACTGTAGTTTTTCATGTATACATTAACCTCACAATATTTTGTTTTGGATATAACTGTTATTGAGCTAGGCTATTGTACTACCGTTGATCGTATAACTCAGTTGGTAAGAACGACTGTATTTCATTGAAAGCTCTGGATTTGATCCAGGTGTATCATTGATATCAGATCAGTGATGCTAATTTTCAGTTTTGCTAATTTCAGTTTTTATTATATTACATAAAAGTTTTTCAAGGTACTGGTTCCTTTTCAGCAATTATTTTTAAGCTATCGTTGTGCCACTTAAACATTTCCATTTCATAGCTATAGATTTGAGCAGTGTTATGGAAATAACTGAGTTTTTGTTTTGCCACACTTACCTTTCTCACCATACAAGATAGGAATTGTTGTTAATGCACATGCACATCCTCCGAATATCATACTGAAAAAGTACGTTTTCTGCCGACCTATACGATCCAATATAAGAAGGGCCATGGCATTAGCTGGAATTTCTACGAGACCTGATAGAAACATGTTCAGGAAGAAATTCCCTCCGAGGTTTCCAGCATTTAGAGAGAGGCCATAGTACATCATAGCCACTATAAACCTACAAAGAGAACACAACGTTAGCGTATAGAATTCAACAATCTAGTTTAATACTGATTTATTTTCACACATAATTTATATACAACATAATAACTGCTCAACACAGAAAGGTAAATGATATGTAAACAGTTAAATGACCACCCTCATTACATCAACAGAAATTACTTTTGAAACGTAAATGTTTAGCGCAATCCCGGGATCTTTTCATTTATTCTAAACATGTATAAAAGTACAAAGCAATTGTAAAAATTGTACGAGAGAGTCTGATATTACAATTGAAAAATAGTATTAAATATTTCCGACCATTTTACAAACACTGGTGGTTTCATGTTCACCTTGATACGCAATAATGTGAATTCAAAGCACACGGTTATATTCAACAGAACGAAATAGGGTAAATCATTGCTAAGATAAAACCTCAAATAAATGAAATAAACTTGCCAGTTGAAAAATATTACGGTTGTGCGCAGAAGCATGACCCGAGAGGAAAACAATTGCCACAGCTTTCCTGTTGCATCTGGCGTCATTTTTTCTTTCTCATCATCGAATAGATTCGTTTCAAGCATCACTTTATTAATCTTAGCTGCTTTCTGGAGAATTCTATCAGCCTCTTCATACTTTCGTTTACTTAACAACCATCGCAGAGATTCTGGCAGCAGCCTTATAATGCAAAAGTATACTTTTATCAAAACAACATATTGAAGTTGGATAAAATACAGTAATATGTAAGTTATCTGTTTATTAAAACATATTTATTTTATTTACATCTGCTTGAACTGAAGCTGAGGTCCAGTGTTTATAACCATTAGCGAGCTATGTTTAATTGGTTTGGTTCCGAATACAACGGGTCTATTGTTTGCATATATAATTGGTTGCACTTGAGTAAATTCGTCAAAGCTGTTAATACGAATTCTCAGATTTCAGATTCAGATTTTATTTCCAACACTCAGACACATGAAAATGTGTAACATGAGGTACATGTACATGAATTCATATATTAAATTTTGACAGGATGGACAGGTGCATGCATGTATACAAGGCAAGATTGTATTGACACTCAGACACATAATATGTGTTACATGAGGAAATAAAGTTGCAGATATGGAAAATGAAGTACAATGGACAGTTCAATTTAGAATCGGTACGGTATAGTAACATGATATGACATACAATGGAAAATACAAAACAAACATAAAAAACAACCATACATATAATTCACAAGTTATTCAACTATTAACAGTTATACATATGCATCATTCACAAAAGAGGAGCCATTCAGTTAATACGAATTCTCAAAAGTCCATTTTTAGGAAATAGTTTGCAATCTTATACTACATTTATAAGTAAGCTGGTTTTATTTATCAAAATAAACTTTGTGAGTTAAAATAGAAAATGAGCCATACGTAAGGAGGCATCTCTCTTTCAAGATGTATTTTCTATGAATCAACTATTATTTAATCATGTATATCTGGATACCTATCAAATCCAACACAAGTATGAATATCAAAGGAAATAAATTCGCGAAGCCAATACGAGTATGTGATCGAGAAAACCAAAACTGTTGGATCGAATACCATACAGCAAGGATATTTGACTTCTACAATTGATCAATATTGTATGTTGGTATCGAAGTGTATCTGTAAACAGAGTGTACATGATCGACTCAGTGAAGCTGGGGTCAGTAAAGTGTCCCTAAGGCGTACATGGAACAAATGGTTAATAGTATCCTTTCATTTTGTAAAGGAATGCTTCACTTGAATAGAGCACCTGCAGATACATAATACTGGACGCACACTCGAACAAGAAAATTTAAATCAAACTAGTAACATTATTAAAGCATGCTTTAAATTATCAACAAAAAAAGAATGTTTGCCTCCAATTAGAAATCCTGTCAGCCATTGATTGTAAGATGTAGTTTGTCGTAGAATGGGACGAGTTTTGTTGATAGGATTTCCTTCTTTTTGTTGCGTTCGGACATCATTGAATATCTCGAAGACTGGAACCGTATTTCCATACTGAACGTGTTCACAAAAACCTGGTTACAAAACCAGGTGAATCCGATAATGTTGATCGATTGATCAAGAAGATGTTATCGGGATGCTCCAAGTAAGTCATTCAAACGTTACGTCATGTAGTGTTTTTCTACGATGACGACCTCTCTTTTGTAGCACTGTTTAATCCCACTGGGGCAACATCTAGCTGTCGCAAGTCTGGTAGATCAAGTGTTACCGTCCAGGGATACTGTATCCAAAAGAAAATGTTTCCTCGCCCACTGTCGCCGTTGTTTCCTGCTCACTATATAAGGGGTAAAACCATTGGCAATCGTTTTGTATCCCTAAATTCAATTCGATGAGAATTTCATACATTTAAAATCAAGACAATCCCGCCCACATAAGTCACGTCCGCAGGATGATTCCGAGACAAAATAATGTCTACAGGTTATATTGGCGGGGAAAGTCTAAATATTTGGTACTTAAAGAAGAACGTGCTTGGAATTTACAAAAAAATATAGAAATAGGTTAGACGCCGCCAAAATCAGCTCGGTAACTTACAAAAACTGTTGCAAGAATGAAGCGAATTCTCGCTAATGTCATTAGACGTTACACACGGCCTATACTGCGGCACATCAATACATTGATACAGGGTCATGGAAGACACACTCACTTTAAAGGGGCATCACGGTGAAGTAACTTTATTTTTTGTCTTTTTTTCAAATACTACATAAACATATCAAGTGAGACTCCTTATGGAAAATAACGATCGGATTTGGCTGAAATAGATTCATAAAAATGATTAAATCTAAGAAAATCATCGGTATTTCTACCTGTCTGACCAACGTTTTGTTCAGGGATTTCCCTCTACT